CGTCCTTGCCAAGGTTGAGTAAATGTCATTAAATCACTTGATGAGACGCAAATAACATAGGAGGTGATATTAGTTAACGCTGTTGTCTCATTCAAGGCGGGGAATGAGGATGACACTGCAGAGTTCGTTGTAGATTTATTATTATCGTAACTCTTCTGCAAATATTTTACTGTCTTTGTGTGTGTGTGTGTGTGTATGTGTGTGTGTGTGTGTGTGTGTGTGTGTGTGGGTGTGTGGGTGTGTGTGTGTGTGTAAAGATTTAAATTGCTTCACGTTTTTGAGTCCGATTAGGATTTAAAATGGGAACATTAGACTTGGCAATATTTATATTTTGTCTCTCAAAGATTCATAGTAGATTCCAGGAAACTGAGAGAGAAAATTACATGGTGCAGAGAGGTACATATTAACACTTTCTGTAGGAAAAGTCATTACTCTTAAAATCAGTGCATGATAACACTACTAGTGACACTCAGAAAGATATTCATAATAACATGACCTCTTCCACAGTGAGTTGTAAAAGTTAAACTTCAAGTGTACCTTTGTTATTTCGAGTATAATGTAAATGGCTAAACTCTACGGTTATAACACTCCTCCATACGCTATTGGATATTACGTTTTCTATGATACATGGGTCGGGTAAACTATCATATATTGCATGTAGCCTTGAAAAATAATTAAGAAAGCTAATATAATTCTAAGTAATTACGGGATCATAAATACGGATCTAATACCATAATTGAAGAGCATTTAATTAAATTGTTTGCGTTTCATTTCACTACACCATTTCTACCGGGTTGAGGCTATGAGGTTCCTGTGAAGTCACTTGTCTGAGATACGTCACTCGGAAGGCCGTTACAGGATGGTGCGTGGTAGATTTTTTTTTTTTTTTTTTTTTTTTTGCGACGGCCTACAGTTGATTTTTTTTTTTAGTTATTAGGGTTCACTCAGTCTGTTCACTCATGTATGTATATTTATGTTTGCTTGTTTGTGTGTTTGTTTGTCCGTCTGTCTGACTGTCTGTCTGCCTGTCTGTCTGTCTATTTCTCTCTCTCTCTCTCTCTCTCTATATATATATATATATATATATATATACAAACACACACACACACACACACACACACACACACACACACACACACACATCCGTCCACCATGGCTAAACTTTTTTATTTAGGATAATGCAAATATACTAATTAGGATTCATAGGACATGTGATGTTTCTGTTTGTGTGTGTGTGTGTGTGTGTTCCTTGTTTGTTCGCGTACCCTTATGATCTATGTTGCGTAACCCCAGGGGTACGCGGACCCTAGTTTGGACAACACTGCAGTAGAATATCTTCAAATTATTGTGGCATGCTTTGGTACAAAAATATTCTTGTATAGCAAACATTCCCAACTAGCCATTTTCTGATGCTTAAAAGATTAAATGTGACACTCGAAAAAGTCTCTCTCCATTTTTTTCCTTCATTGTCGCCGCAAACGTGGACTCGATAGTTCGAAATCAAGGAATAAATTTTGAACCGTGAAGGTTTTCGTGATATATCGCTATCGACTCGTTTAAAGTTTCACTCGTCTGCGTCCCTTAAATATCAACGCGACCGCAGAATTGTAAGGCTTAGAGAACTACTATTGATTGCCAAATTTTACATGGCGGATAGTCAAGCAGAATGAGTCATTTGCTTCCACGATTCTTATGCGCATCTCGTTCCTCATTTTGCGTTGGGAAAAGTACTCCCTAATCAGTTTGTTTACACACCGTTTGAATTCCCCTTTGGAGCCACACTTTTACTATATACCACAAGGCCTTCGGTGTGGAATTTAGAAAGCTCCGAGAGATAAATA